GTATATGGAGAGTAAAAGAAAGGTAAAGAGAGTGGTGAGAGAGTGAAAAGGAGAGCAAATGATAGAGTGGGAGAGGCACTGTCAAGAAATTTTAATGAAAATAAGAAAGAATTTTGGAGTGAGTTAAACAAGTTAAGAAAGCCAAGAGAACGAATGGATTTGTCAGTTAAAAACAGAGTAGGGGAGTTAGTAGATGGGGAGATGGAGGTTTTGGGTAGATGGCGAGAATATTTTAAGGAACTTTTAAATATCGACGAAGAAAGGGAAGCGGTAATTTCATGCACTGGCCAGGGAGGTATACCATCTTTTAGGAGTGAAAAAGAACAGGCTGTGAGTGCGGGGGAGGTGCGTGAGGCATTACGTAGAATGAAAGGGGGTAAAGCAGCTGGAACTGACGGGATCATGACAGAAATGTTAAAAGCAGGGTGGTGGTCCTGTGGTCTGGTGGCTAAAGCTCCTGCTTCACACACGGAGGGCCCGGGTACAATTCCCAGCGGGTGGAAACATTTCGACACATTTCCTTACACCTGTTGTCCTGTTCACCTAGCAGCAAATAGGCACCTGGGTGTTAGTAGACTGGTGTGGGTCGCATCCTGGGGGACAAGATTGAGGACCCCAATGGAAATAAGTTAGACAGTCCTCGATGATGCACTGACTTTCTTGGGTTATCCTGGGTGGCTAACCCTCCGGGGTTAAAAAATCCGAACGAAATCTTATAGTGTTGGAGTGGTTGGTATTTTTGTTTAATAAATGTATGAAAGAGGGGAAGGTACCTAGGGATTGGCAGAGAGCATGTATAGTCCCTTTATATAAAGGGAAGGGGGACAAAAGAGATTGTAAAAATTATAGAGGAATAAGTTTACTGAGTATACCAGGAAAAGTGTACAGTAGGGTTATAATTGAAAGAATTAGAGGTAAAACAGAATGTAGGATTGTGGATGAGCAAGGAAGTTTCAGAGTGGGTAGGGGATGTGTAGATCAAGTGTTAACATTGAAGCATATATGTGAACAGTATTTAGATAAAGGTAGGGAAGTTTTTATTGCATTTATGGATTTAGAAAAGGCATATGATAGAGTGGATAGGAAAGCAATGTGGCAGATGTTGCAAGTATATGGAATAGGCAGTAAGTTACTAAATGCTGTAAAAAGTTTTTATGAGGATAGTGAGGCTCAGGTTAGGGTGTGTAGAAGAGAGGGAGACTATTTCCCAGTAAAAGTAGGTCTTAGACAGGGATGTGTAATGTCACGATGGTTGTTTAATATATGTATTTATAGATGGGGTTGTAAAAGAAGTAAATGCTAGGGTGTTCGGGAGAGTGGTGGGATTAAATTATGGGGAATCAAATACAAAATGGGAATTGACATAGTTGCTTTTTGCTGATGATACTGTGCTTATGGGAGATTCTAAAGAAAAATTGCAAAGGTTAGTGGATGAGTTTGGGAGTGTGTGTAAAGGTAGAAAGTTGAAAGTGAACATGGAAAAGAGTAAGGTGATGAGAGTATCAAATGGCTTTAGATAAAGAATATTGGATATCAAATTGGGGAGGAGGAGTATGGAAGAATGCATTGTTTTCAGATACTTGGGAGTTGACGTGTCGTGGGATGGATTTATGAAGGATGAGGTTAATCATAGAATTGATGAGGGAAAAAAGGTGAGTGGTGCATTGAGGTATATGTGGAGACAAAGAAGGGAATGTATGAAAGTACAGTAGTACCAACACTCTTATATGGGTGTGAAGCTTGGGTTGTGAATGCAGCAGCGAGGAGGCGGTTGGAGGCAGTGGAGATGTCCTGTCTAAGGGCAATGTGTGGTGTAAATATTATGCAGAAAATTCGGAGTGTGGAAATTAGGAGAAGGTGTGGAGTTAATAAAAGTATTAGTCCAAGGGCTGAAGAGGGGTTGCTGAGGTGGTTTGGCCATTTAGAGAGAATGGATCAAAGTAGAATGACATGGAGAGCATTTAAATCTGTAGGGGAAGGAAGGTGGGGTAGGGGTCGTCCTCGAAAAGGTTAGAAGGAAGGGGTAAGGGATGTTTTGTGGGCAAGGGGGTTGGACTTCCAGCAGGTGTGCATGAGCATGTTCGTTAGGAGTAAATGGAGACAAATGGTATTTGGGACCTGACGATCTGTTGGAGTGTGAGCAGGGTAATATTTAGTGAAGGGATTCAGGGAAACCGATTATTTTTATATAGTCGGACTTGAGTCCTGGAAATGGGAATTACAATGCCTGCACTCTAGAGGGGGGGTTTCGGGATATTAGCAGTTTGGAGGGATATGTTGTGTATCTTTATACGTATATGCTTCTAAAGTGTTGTGTTCTGAGCACCTCTGCAAAAACAGTGAGTATGTTTGAGCGAGGTGAAAGTGTTGAATGATTAAAGTATTTTCTTTTTGGGGATTTTCTTTCTTTTTGGGTCACCCTGCCTCTTAGACACCGACGTACATATTATGCATAGATATTAAGTGCTGAATGATGGTGAATGTTGTGTTGAATGTGGTGTTGAATGATGGTGAAAGTTTCTTTTTGGGGTCACTCTGCCTTGGTGGGAGACGGGCAGCATGTTATAAAAAAATTAAGTGTGGTGCATGCAATGGAAATTTCTATGTGTAAATATATATGGATAAAAAAAGTTCCATTCAGTATTACAGTACAAATATAGTTACATCACATTTTTCAGGCTTTTTCACTTGTGGTGAGTATGGCTCTTCCACACCAAACTGATCATCAGGTTTCCCTAACATCTCTTCTCCATGAGATGAAGAAATTGTTCACTGTGTGGTGCTATTTCACTGAAACTGTACATGTTGAAACAAAACTAAGTTCAGATTTGAATTCAGCATACCAAAATTAGTTATAACCCAATTTTAAATGTGAACTGAAACCTTTGTTAGCCAGTGTTATTGATGATTTATGGGATGCACAAAACCATAAGGGTCATTCAGCACACAAAGACTAGGAGGTAATCATATTTGATCTGAGGGAAGGGGAAGGTAATTCAATTCCTGAAAGCAAGATCTCTTCACCACCATCAAGGTCTTCTTATCAAAATAGGTACAGTACTGTAATTGTTGCAAATTATTTACATATTTGTGGGCAGTGCAAAACAGCTTGCAAAAACTGCATCCAATTATGCATCAATAAAATGGGTAGAAATTTAATCATAAGACTAACTTAACACAAAGTTAGATATACATAAGACAGTTCAGCTGTTTTCCAATATGTCATGAACCATAATAAGCACAATATCCTTAAACTGGCTATAACTGCTTCACAACTTAATTCCAGCATCTCACAAGGCCAGTGAAAACCAATACTATAGCTATTTGTGCACCGTAGTTGCTTCTTCGTGCACCCAACCTAGTTCCTTCTTCCTGCACCCAATCTAGTTCCTGTGACTCAGGTGATCTGCCTTTGTACATAAGCTGCATGCTCTGGACATTTTCTAGTTTTCCCAAACATAGAAAGGAGCAAGGTGAAGGGAGGGAGTATGGAGGAAGTGAAAGTACAGTGGTGCCTCGAGTTACAAACTTAATTCGTTCCAGAAGGCTGTTCGAGTGCCAATGCCGAATGAATTTGTTCCCATAAGGAATAATGTAAATTAGATTAATCCATCCTAGGTAGTAGGTTGGTAGACAGCAACTGCCCAGGGAGGTACTACCATCCTGCCAAGTGAGTATAAAACAGAAGCCTGTAATTGTTTTACACAATGGTAGGATTGCTGATGTCTTTTTTTTTTCTGTCTCATACACATGCAAGATTTCAGGTACGTCTTGCTACTTCTACTTACACTTAGGTCACACTACACATACATGTACAAGCATATATAAACACACACCCCTCTGGGTTTTCTTCTATTTTCTTTCTAGTTCTTGTTCTTGTTTATTTCCTCTTACCTCCATGGGGAAGTGGAACAGAATTCTTCCTCCGTAAGCCATGTGTGTTGTAAGAGACGACTAAAATGCCTGGAGCAAGGGGCTAGTAACCCCTTCTTCTTTATATATTACTAAATGTAAAAGGAGAAACTTTCGTTTTTCCTTTTGGGCCCCCCCGCCTCGGTGGGATACGGCCGGTGTGTTGAAAGAAAGAAAGAAAGATTAATCCATTTCAGATCCCCAAAAATACACTTACAAAAGCACTTACAAAAATACATTTACATAATTGTTCGAGTTGGGAGCTGTTAGAAACTCGAGGTACCACTGTATTTGGAAATACGTCAGTGGACATGCTGGTATATGGGTCTATGAAAGACAAGATGAACCATAAAATAGTTGAGGGGAAAAGGGTACTGTTAGGCTTCTGTGGAAAGAAGTTTATCCACAGAGGCAAAATGGAGAATGTACCAGAGTATAGTGGTACCAACACTTTTATATAGGTGTGTGTAAACATTGCAGCAAGAATTGGCCAGAGACAGTGGAGATGCTAGAGAGTAATGTGTGAACATTACGAAGAGAATTGTTAAAATAAAAATTATAAGACAGTGTGGGGTTACCAACGGCATAATTCAGAGGGCTGAGGAGGGGTTGCTGAGATGGTCTGGACATCAAGAGAGAATGGAACAGCATAGGATGATCAACAGGGTATACAAATCTGGGGACAAATGGAAGGAATAAGGGTCATCCTAGTAAAGGGTGAGAAGTAGTAAAGGAGTTTTTGAGTGCTAGAGGCTTGAGCATCTAGCAAGCTCGTGTGAGTGTACTAGATCAAAGAGGAGAAATGATTTTAATGGCTTGACATGCTGTGTGAGCAAAGTAACATTTTTATGAAAGGATTTGAGGAAATTAATTAGATGGACTTGAGTCCTGGAGGAGGAAAGTATAGTGCCTACACTCTGAAGGAGGGGTGGGGATTCTGCAGTTCTAAATCATCTGAAGTGTGATGCCTGTGCACTTTCAGCCACAAAGTTTTTGAATGAATGTTGGTGAATGTATTTCATTATTTTTTGAGGTCACTCTACCTTGGTAGGAGATGGCCAGTGTGGTGAAATAAATATACATTTACATCATACAGTATAGAGTTTATTTATACAAAGTATATGCATTTTCAACATTAATTTATCACAGTGATTGCCAACCAGGACTCAGCAATTAAGGCTATTAACAGTACTTTCACCTTTTCACTTCTAATAATCAACCTTCCTCTGAGGAGCCACTGGATGAGTCATCAAAACTCTCGTTTTCTGACGAAGAATATACTGTAATTAAGTTACAGTGATCACTAAATTTGAGTTTGAGTATTATACTGTAGCACTAGCAAGATGCCACAAAAATAAAGTACAGTAATTCCATTCTGTGATAAAAAGCCATTTCAATTACTGCTTGTTTTTAATACAGTACAGTACCTATAATTAACAAATTACAATTTAAAAATGTTACTGTATAACAAAATATGAGCACTGGACTGCAAGACTTTGAAGAAATGAAAGTTACATCATCTCTAACTTAATATGGCACATAAATTTTGAGAAAGATGTACAAGTGAGTGCTAAATAGATGATCTAAGGCTCAGAAATTAGTTCATCTGTGGGTGAAACCGGGGACAAGAGAGGGAGGTGGGAATCCCAAAATTCTCTCAGTCGATTTTGACTGTTTGTGCAAAATAGACGGAAATCGTGAAGCATCTTCTCAGCAAGGACCTCATCCCCTGTGGTTAAATATTTCCAACGTCTTGTGAGCATGTGGTTGAAAGACCAAAGAAATCCAGGCTGTAGAAGACAAAAATTAGATCAAACATTTATTCATGGAAAGAAAAAATATTTTTTTTATTTCTAGACATGTTTTAATTATACCACAGTACAGTATTACAAAACAAGTTGTTTGCCAGTAATGCACAGGAGAAACTAAAGTCAATGCAGAGTAAATAAATACAATATAAATAAAACACATTAAAATATAAAATACAAGTGTATATACTACTGCATTTTAAGTTTGTTAAGAATGATAGGTGATTAACCAAGATGGCAGTCTACCTTCACACAATTTATTAAAATACAATTCTTGATTACAGTAAACTAGTACTGTATTTTTCTTAAGTCCTAAAATACTGTAGTACTCAGGTTAATGAAGCAATGACATGGATATTTATCTGTTAATCAAGCTAACTCATTTTCCAAAAGGGGGGCCCAAGTACATATTAAATTTAATTATGAGCACAAAAAAATTAGGACACACTCCCTTGTTTATTGTGTGGCATAGTGAACTTTAATCATTTTAATTACTGGGGCAATAATCAGTGTTGGGAGCTGGAAGGTCAGATGTTAAGGTCATCTTTATAGTGGCAATTACAGAGTTCATATTCATAGGGAGGGAAGAAAACCCATAGGGATGATATAGTGCTTATGGAATACATATGAGGCACAATGTGGTTTGATCAAAGGGAATGGGAGAATAGATCCAGTTAACTGGATCAAGAGCCCTTCAGTATTTCAAATTATCACATTTTAGCCTTCATTCTTCTCTTCCAAAACTTGACATTCTTCTTAGTTACCTGCCTAACATGTACTGTTTTATCAATTAAAACTCCACTAGTTAGTATTTATTCGAATTACATGTTTTATTAAAGTGCAACAACAGATTATTATATGTACGCTGACAATAAAATTATTTGTAGAACTCCAAGAAAATTATTTCAGATTTTATAATATCAACTACATACTATGGAAAGAATGATGTACAGTCAGCCTTGTTCTCAAGTGGAATAAACAGGTAAAATATGGCAACAAATGGACAAAAAGGAACACATTACTCAGGTGACAATACTTGTAATGGTTTGATAAAATAGTTGTTATTTAATATTTCCTGTTAGCAGGAGGAAGTAAGAAATAATGCAGTACTACAGGTTAATATTTACATGACTAGCTGTGGAACTTTAAACAATTTGAAACATTCACCTGATTTTATCATGCTACTGAAAATTAACAAAAGAAATAGATTTTTCGACTGATATATGTCTATTCTTAAAGTAACATAATTTATGTTAGCTTATACAAGACAGGATGAAAGGGGTGTTCTACCAATAATAATGAAAGAAATACACAGATACCAAGTACACAGGTACTTGCTCTGCACTTGTCTATTCTTCAGAGACAACATGTTTACATGCAACAAATGCAGTGATTAGTAGTGTTGCAAGCATTATGCCACCATCCACAAAGAACTATGTAGGTTATTTCTTTACAAATGGGACTGAATCACCTGGAAATTAAATTCCCATGGAGAACAATGAAATATAGTTACCCATTTCAATTTCTGATATGATAGTTTTTTTACAGTCAAATCTAACCAAAATACTTTTCATAATTATGGACTTTTCCATATATGGAATAAACAAATTGTAAGTAGGTACATCCTTGCAACAATTAGGCATTTTTTATATTATTACACAATCTTTTTTGTTGAACACGTTGGCAGTCTCCCACCAAGGCAGGGTGACCCAAAAAAAAAAGAAAAAACTTTCATCATCATTCAACACTTTCACCGTCACTCATACATAATCACTGTCTTTGCAGAGGAGCTCAGATATGACAGTTTATTATTATTATTATTATTGAAAGTGAACGTTTGAAAAAGTAAGGTGATGAGGGAATCAAACGATTTAGATAAAGAAAAACTGGATATCAAATTGGGGAGGAGGAGTATGGAAGAAGTGAATGTTTTCAGATATTTGGGTGTTGATATGTCAGCGGATGGATTTATGAAGGATGAGGTTAATCATAGAACTGATGAAGGAAAAAAGGCGAGTGGTGCGTTGAGGTATATGTGGAGACAAAAAACGTTATCTATAGAGGCAAAGAAGGGAATGTATGAAAGTATAGTACAGTGGAGCCCCGCTTTACGATCAGCTCCCAATGCGACCAATTATGTAAGTGTATTTATGTAAGTGCATTTGTACGTGTATGTTTGGGGGTCTGAAATGGACTAATCTAATTCACAATATTCCTTATGGGACCAAATTCGTTCTGTAATGGCACCTGAACATACTTCTGGAATGAAATAATATCGTAAGCCAGGGGTCCACTGTAGTACCAACACTCTTATATGGGTGTGAAGCTTGGGCTGTAAATGCTGCAGCGAGGAGGGGTTGGAGGCAGGGGGAGATTCCTGTCAAAGGGGGCAATGTGTGGGGGTAAAATTATGAAAAAAATTCGGATGGGGAAAAATTAAAAGGGTGTGGAATTAAAAAATTTACAGAGGGCTAAAAGGGGGGTTTTTGGAGGTGGTTTGGTCATTTAAGAAATGGATCAAGTAGAATACATAGGGGCGAAAAAACGTAGGGGAAAAGGAAGGGCGGGGGGGGGTCCCTCAAAAAGTTAGGGGGGAGAAAAGATTTTTTGGGGCAGGGTTTGGGGGACTTCCAGCAAGCATGTGTGAGGGGTTTTTAATGGGATGAATGGAGACTTTGGGTATTTGGGGACCGACGAGCTGCGGATGTGAGCGGGGGAAAATTTTTTGTAAAGGGGTTTTCAGGGAAACCGGTTTTTTTTATATATGGGACTTGATCCGGGAAATTTTAAGTAAAAACCCTCACTTAAAAAAAGGGGGGTTTTGGATATTGGCAGTTTGGAGGATTTTGTGATCTTTATACATATATGCTTCTAAACGTTGTATTCGGGCCCCCTCTGCAAAAATTTTGGGATTGGTGAGTGGGTGAAAGGTTGAATGAGATAAAGTATTTTCTTTTTGGGATTTTCTTTCTTCTTGGGTCCCCTGCCCGTAGAGAGGCCCACTTTTTTAAAAAAAAAAAAAAAAAAAAAAATATATTTTACCAGTGTTTGCAAAGGGAACTAAATTGGGGGGGAAGGGGCTAGTAACCTCTTCCCTTATAAAAAATTTCTAAATTTAAAAAGAAAAAACTTTGGTTTTTCTCTTTTGGGCACTCCCCCGGGGGGGAGATGGCTGGTTTGTTTGAAAAAAAAAAACAACATATTTTATTATTTTCCTTGGGGTGGTGAGCCTTCAAGTGATCCATGGAATCCATCATGCAGCAGAACCATCACAACTTAATATAAATTGTTTATCATGCTACAGCAACTTAGAATACTGTACCCCATAAAACAAAGCACAACTTACCTGATGAAAATTAAAGAATTGCTTTGCCAGAAAGCCTCAGTGGAAATTAAAGAAGCCTCTACTGATGTTCTGATTTCATTCCAATATTTGTCTAAATTCTATAACAGTTGAGAAGTGTGAAATTCATGCATAACATTTCAATTAATCTATGACATGAGCAATGGCAGAAGGACTTTGTGTCATCAATCTTAACTAGTTAATATTTGTTGTATACTGCATTTACTGCAGTTTATTATTAGTTTTGACCAATTTTAATAACTACTTCAACCTACAACAGTAATGGTCTGAGATATGATAAATTACAAATTCATCCTCTTTAAATATATACAGAACTGTATTTACTCAAAATTCCCTTCAGTTAGCCAAGCCACTGGGAAACCTCCAAGCATATTTGGAGCATTACTAAAACATTCTGTTTCATAAGGTGCACTCATTCCAGCTCAACACTGACTTGTTTCATTGTGAGCTTCAGTACAGCGAGCACCAAAATGACTAGTGCTTCTTAACAAACCTGTTTCTCGCTGATCTCGTGGGAATATAAGTCTGCAATCAAGCGATGGAAATACTCCACATGAGGGCTGGACACGCCATAGAGGAAGTCAGCCTATAAGAAGCAAGGAGCCAACACTGATATCTGACAAAAGTATTAATTCACTACACATGGTAACATATACTTAAAATGCATTTTAGGCCCGAGTTATTATTTATGTTTAGTAACATCACACCTTTGGTATTAGTTAGTTAGTTACACAGAATAAGGATATAACATGTAGTAGTACTGATGCAGCTTTCAAAGGATCCACAGACTATAAAAATATTTACAGTGCTTATAAAGCATACTACTTTTTCTTAGTTATATGCACTTCAAAAAATAAACAGATGTTGAAGCATTATGAACAATTACAAGGAAAATACATACAAAAAAAAAAAACCCTTTATGTGTGATATGATTTAAAATTCTTTACATTTTATTTGGATTGCAAATTTGAATTATGAATGAGAATTAATATTTGTGCAGTGGGGGATAAAAAAGACTGGTTGTGCTATACCTAGTGAATGACTATGAGGATTTATAAGGAAAACTTGATCTCATGTATACTCTTGCCAAACATATATGCATTTCAAACTAGATAAATGAAAAAAAAATGAGACTTTTTAATGCACGTTGTAATTGAACATTGCATTAACCAGCTAGAAATGGTTTTATATAATACAGTACTCATGTATATTAACTTTGAATGATATAAATTTATGTAATAAATGTTAAAAGGTATAATTATTATTATTATTATTATTATCACACTGGCCGATTCCCACCAAGGCAGGGTGGCCCGAAAAAGAAAAACTTTCACCATCATTCACTCCATCACTGTCTTGCCAGAAGGGTGCTTTACACTACAGTTTTTAAACTGCAACATTAACACCCCTCCTTCAGAGTGCAGGCACTGTACTTCCCATCTCCAGGACTCAAGTCCGGCATAATTATATGAATAAAAACTGTTGAATATATCTTTAACTGAAACTCCTACAAAAATCCTACCTGATATGGAGTGTATGTCCAATCATGTTAATGTATGCCAACATAAAAATCAATACGATAATTAATAATTTTAAATCAGGTGGATACCAAAGCTCAGTGAATGCAAAGCATGTAAGATTATGTTAGGTAGAAGGACACAAGTGCAACTAATGAGACATTTTATTGTGGCAGTGTTTCACTCTCTAGGAGCTTTGTCAAGCCATTACAAACAATACATGGACACAGAGGGTATATATAGGCTGAGAGTGAGGTGTAGTAGTTGTAATACTAGTGGTGGTAGTAGTGATACATGTGGTAGAAAAATTTTCATTAAAAGGAGGAACACTGGAACAGGCCTTCTCTAATCCAACCAAAAATATTTCCCCAACTTATTTTTATGCTACCCAAGCAATATCTTTAATAACCTTTTTACTCACATATGAGTCGATTTTTTGTACCACATGTATCACTACTACTACTACCACTAGTATTACAACTACTACACCTCACTCTCAGCCTATATATACCCTCTGTGTCCAAGTATTGTTTGTAATGGATTGACAAATCTCCTGGAAAGTGAAACATAGCCACAATAAAATGCCACATAAGCTGCACTTGTGTTCTTTTACCTAACACATTGCGGGCAATTCTACCAATAAATTATAATATATGTATGTATGTTAAAAGGAGGGAGGGACAGTGTTGGAATGGTTGGTATTTTTGTTTAATAAATGTATGAAAGAGGGGAAGGTACCTAGGGATTGGCAGAGAGCATGTATAGTTCCTTTATATAAAGGGAAGGGGGACAAAAGAGACTGTAAAAATTATAAGGGAATAAGTTTACTGTCCCTTGTGGTTTAGCACTTCTTTTTTATTATAATAATAATAAGTTTACTGAGTATACCAGGTAAAGTGTATGGTAGGTTTATTATTGAAAGAATTAGAGGTAAGACAGAAAGTAGGATTGCAGATGAGCAAGGAGGCTTTAGATTGGGTAGGGGATGTGTATATTAAGTGTTTACACTGAAGTACAGTGGAACCTCGGCTTATGAGCGCCCCACCATACAAATTTTTCAGGATACGAACAGTCATTCGGTCGATCTTTTGCTTCAGGATACGAACGAAATTTCAGGAAGCGAACTTCCCCCTCAAGGGAGATTCCTTATATAAATAAATAAATAAAATACATATTTCTTTGCAAAGGTTACAATGTGTGTTTACATATCATAATATGATTGGAGCAAAGAAAGCCACTATCATGCCGAGGCATTTTGGGCAGAAATGCCTACTTAAGACTACTTAAGTCTAGACAGGTGAAAAGTGTACTAGTAGTGGTTACCAATGTTTTGTTGATGGTAGCGCCAACTACTGGCAGCCTTTTGAAGTTTCTGCTTACTGTTATTATTATTATTACTATTTTTTTTTTTTAACAAGTCGGCCGTCTCCCACCGAAGCAGGGTGACAAAAAAAAGAAAGAAAATCCCCAAAAAGAAAATACTTTCATCATTCAACACTTTCACCTCACTCACACATAATCACTCTTTTTGCAGAGGTGCTCAGAACACGACAGTTTAGAAGCATATACGTATAAAGATACACAACATATCCCTCCAAACTGCCAATATCCCGAACCCCTCCTTTAGAGTGCAGGCACTGTACTTTCCATTTCCAGGACTCAAGTCCGGCTATATAAAAATAACCGGTTTCCCTGAATCCCTTCACTAAATATTACCCTGCTCACACTCCAACAGATCATCAGGTCCCAAATACCATTCATCTCCATTCACTCCTATCGAACACGCTCGTGCACGCCTGCTGGAAGTCCAAGCCCCTCGCCCACAAAACCTCCCTTACCCCTTCCTTCCAACCTTTTCGAGGACGACCTCTACCTTGCCTTCCTTCCCCTACAGATTTATATGCTCTCCATGTCACTCTAGACTCATGAAATCGTAATGACACGATTGCAAACAAACCATACCCTGGCTGGGATTGAACCCACGGTCAGAGAGTCTCAAAACTCCAGCCCGTCGCGTTAGCCACTAGACCAGCTAGCCACAATAAGATTCGTCCTACTAGGTATATTTCTGCACCATAGGAAGGTTAGCACAGGCACCACTGTGACCACAAATGCAAGTTTTTACAGACGAATCTCCAGCTAGCGTGGCCGTGATGAACTCTAGCTCAAGTCCCTTCACTGCCGCCAACATGACTCACGAAATCGTAATGACACGATTGCAAACAAACCATACCCCGGCTGGGATTGAACATGCGGTCAGAGAGTCTCAAAACTCCAGCCCGTCGCGTTAGCCACTAGACCAGCTAGCCACAATAAGATTCGTCCAACTAGGTATATTTTTTACACCATAGGAAGGTTAGCACAGGCACCACTGTGACCACAAATGCAAGTTTTTACAGACGAATCTTTCCCGTAGCATGGGACGTGACGAACCTAGCTCAAGTCCCTTCACTGCCGTCAACATGACTCACGAATCGTAATGACAATTGCAACAAACCACCGGGGTAATGGTTTTCATGTCACTCTACTTGACCATTTTCTTAAATGAACAAACCACCTAACAACCCCTCTTCAGCGCCTGACTATACTTTACTAAAATCCACACTTTTCCTAATTCCACATTCCGAATTTTCTGCATAACATTTACACCACACATTGGCCTTAGACAGGCATCCACTGTCTCCAACGCTCCTTGTGCTGGGATTCAAACCCCAAACTTCAAAACCACATAAGAGGTTGGTACACTAAACTTTCATACATTCCCTTCTTGCCTCCACAGATTACCTTTTGTCTCGACATTACCTCAACGCACATTTACCTTTTTTCCCTAAACAATTCTATGATTAACCTCATCCTTCATAAATCCATCCGCCGACACGTCAACTCCCAAGTACCTGAAAACATTCAATTTTTCCATACTACTTTAACCCCCCAATTTGATATCAATTTTTCTTTATTTTAAATAATTTGATACCTCATACTTACCTTTTATGTTCACTTTTAACTTTTTTACTTTACACACACTCCAACTCAAACCCCTAACCTTGCAATTTTTTTTTAGAATCTCCCAAACACTGTATCATCAGCAAAAAGTAACGTGTAACCCCATTTGTATTTATTCCCCAAATTTAAAATCCCACCCCTCTTCCCGAACACCCTAGCATTTACTTTTTCCCTTTTCAACTCCCAAACTATCCACTAACCTTTGCAATTTTTCTTTGAATCTATAAGCACGGATCATCAGCAAAAGTAACTGGTCAAACTCCATTTTGTATTTGATTCCCCATAATTTAATCCCACCCCTTTCCTGAACACCCTAGCATTTACTTCCTTTACAACCCCATCTATAAATATATTAAACAACCATGGTGACATTACACATCCCTATCTAAGACCTACTTTTACCAGGAAGTAGTCTCCCTCTCTTCTACACACCCTAACCTGAGCCTCACTATCCTCATAAAAACTCTTTACAGCATTTAGTAACTTACCACCTATTCCATCTGCCACATTGCTCCCCTATCCACTCTATCATATGACTTTTTTAAATCCATAAATGCAACAAAAACTTCCCTACCTTTATCTAAATACTGTTCACATATATGCTTCAATATAAACACTTGATCTACACAACCCCTACCCACTCTGAAACCTCCTTGCTCATCCGCAATCCTACATTCTGTCTTACATCTAATTCTTTCAATTATAACCCTACCGTACACTTTTCCTGGTATACTCAGTAAACTTATTCCTCTACAATTTTTACAATCTCTTTTGTCCCCCTTCCCTTTATATAAAGGGACTACACATGCTCTCTGCCAATCCCTAGGTACCTTCCCCTCTTTCATACATTTATTAAACAAAAATACCAACCACTCCAGCACTATATCCCCCCTGCTTTTAACATTTCTGTCATGATCCCGTCAGTTCCAGCTGATTTACCCCCTTTCATTATACATAATGCCTCACGCACCTCCCCCACACTCACATCCTGCTCTTCTTCACTCCTAAAAGATGGTATACCTCCCTGGCCAGTGCATGAAATTACCGCTTTCCTTTCTTCTTCGAC